AATAAAGTTATTTCGTTTATGAAGGCTTCATTTGATTTGTCTTCTGTTCGAGAGATGTGAATGCTCTTGGGAGGCTGGAGGAAGTTTGATAACCTCTGTATCAGATTAGCTGGTCCTGCAAGACACCATAGCACTTCGCGTATCAATGAGTGTCGATCAAATCCTCTTGGATCTGATCCAAAAACTGTTACATAGTGTTGCTGTCGCTTTCATGAATGAATTATGGCCTTTTGACCAACATTAATTATGTATGTTTAGCACCGTTTTACATCGATGTTTGCAATATAAAATATATACTTGGGCTTCAAACATTGTATTTGTTTGTTTTTACGCCATCCTCAGCAACGTTCCGGCTTTATGACGGCGGTCTGGACACGACAATCCAGTATTTGACACCATAAGCATCGATCGATCTGGCGCATGACTGGCATGCGAACCTGATCGAATTCCATGTGTCACCCCGATTCCGATAGTTAGCGAACCTGATCACCCGATTCCGATAGTTAGCGAACCTGATCACCCGATTCCGATAGTTAGCGAACCTGATCACCCGATTCCGATAGTTAGCGAACCTGATCACCCGATTCCGATAGTTAGCGAACCTGATCACCCGATTCCGATAGTTAGCGAACCTAGCGAACCTGATCACCCGATTCCGATAGTTAGCGAACCTGATCACCCGATTCCGATAGTTAGCGAACCTGATCACCCGATTCCGATAGTTAGCGAACCTGACCACCCGATTCCGATAGTTAGCGAACCTCACCACCCGATTCCGATAATCGACAAGTATGGGTTGCTGAAGACCAATAATATTATTCTAACTCGGATCTTCACGCTATGAAACATTGTAACCAAGTTGGAAATCGAACCGGGGCCGTCGATGTGACTAGCAATATTATTGCTTTAACCGTTGGGCTAACCGATCGCCCCTTTTGCTGTTGTCCAAGCGGTTGTAGTGGATTAAGATTGTTTAGAATTCAGAGCGTTTCTTTTGAAACGTCCGAAAATTAGGCGTTTCATCACATCACATAATTTGAGACAAAGACCTCCCGGTTCCATAAAACGGCCTCAGCCCCACGACGATGAGAACGTTGTATAATTATCATAAAGGAAGTTATCGAGCAATACCCTGGAGAAGAACGTGGCCGGAAGACCGAAGTCCCTATCTGCACCCGCCACCAGTGTGATAACTACCTTGGAGTGAGTGTGAGTGAATATGGTTTTACGCCGCTTTTAGCAATATTCCAGCAAAATTACGGCGGGGGACACCAAAACTGGGCTTCACACATTGTACTCATGTGGGGAATAGAAACTGGGTCTTCGGCGTGACGTGCGAACACTTTAACCACTAGGCTACCATACCGCCCATAACTACATTGGAACTATGATATGACGCTGAAATCAATGTCTGTTTAAGGAAAAAACAGCGTTTTGATTGAGAGCTTTTTGCTTACCTTTAACATGAAAAATCCGTTTCTCTGCTCAGTTAATCCCTGTATGTTTGCAGGACCAGATTTAGAGAGAGGGGGTTGGGTTGGTGAGGCGCACCCTCACGCCAAACACTCAGATACGTTAACTGAGCAAAATCAATACACAGATGCGTTGATTTGACGTTGTTTGAAATATATCATAGCTCACGATTAGGGCCCATCCCACTACCTTCAAACAAAACGTCATGGTATGAGACCTAAATAGAACGTAAATTTGTCAAGCGTTCAAGACGTAATGAGGTAGTGTGGTTTCATTATTCCTGTATTTGGATGACAAGAAGCCATTCTGAACCAAGCCCCAAATAAGTTAGGAGTCTGAGAAATGCGTCAGGATGTTGACTCATCTATAACAACCAAACAAAATGGTTCAGGGTGTGACAAACAGCGGTATAAATGGCACAACTACGATTATTGAACAAAACGTGTTTGATCGAGATTAAAAAAATATATGTATTTTGATTAGTACCGTTTTCAAAAATGTTTTTTATCTTAAACATTTGTCGGACGTTTCTGTATTTGACTAAAAAGATGCCCCATGTCAAATGCAGTTTCCTAAATAATATAAAATTGATTTGTCTTTGTATGTGTTTGCAACGGATAAATTCATATTTATCTGAATAATTGATATCAGGATAATTCGACAGCGATAAAGACATACTTATCACACACTCGGAATCACAACATACACTATGCTTTCAGAAGGAATTTCTTATGATTACAAAAATGACATTGTTTCTTGTATTGTACTTTTCCTTGATGGATGTATTCGCATTAACAAGGTTTATAGTAATGAGGTTGTATTGTCGTAACACAGTCAGTCAGCAGTAATATCCCCATAAGAGCATAGAAATATTATCATGACAAAGTTGGAGACACGAACACTAAAGGGGTTCGATCATGTCATGGGCATTTGTCAGTATTGATTTTATCACAGAAGAGCCAGTCAGCACAACACAGATTTGATATATAATTAACCAGGCACATATACATAAGAACAATATCTCAAGAAATCGGAATATCTCGATCCATTGACTGATACAATCTGTTACCACAGATAGGGCAGGGTATGGTAACATCACTATTTGGATAGTGGTTCATATAAACATCGTCTCTGATTTGAGCAGAGGTTTTGTTACGTACCTGGAGACGGTTTTCACGCTTTTATTTAAAGAATCATGTTTGATCTATTTACACAGTTAAATCGTTTGTCTCAGGTACGAAATGTATACAAAGTTAAGCGCAAAGACAAGAATATAAATCAGGACGGAGAGTTGTAGATATATAAAGGCACGTCATCGAGAACTTCAACAAATTTTTCGGGCCAGAATTACCTCTAACTTTCCTTTTTTCCTTGGAATCCCAGATGCAATCATTTGGAGCTACCATTTCACACATGCTGTGATTAGGCTATCAAAGTAACGTTTTTGTCAACATTTGTCCTTTCGCATGATTTCCCCAGAACATTGCCAATTCTGAACGTCTTGAATATTTCTTTTAGGTGTGGGCAACGAACAATAGATGACACGGTAAATTCAGTGAAAACACTTTCAAAGGTTTTGTGAGCGTGTCTGAAAAAAACTGTGATTTTTATCATCGTTGGTTTTATGAACAAAGAAGAGGCAGCGTGTGTTTACAGCGATTTGACGTCAATAATAGCGAAAAAACGTTTCCACATCTTTACAAGATATCTGGTAAAAACAGTGTCGCTTGTACGATTCCGAGCATGAGCATGTGTGCAGTTAGATAATGACGTCTAATCTGATTCATACACTAGCCAGGTGATGTGTTTCGTGACGTCCACAAAGAAAGAAACCTTTTTACTTTACATCGGATGCAATGCCCATTTTCCCGTGTTTTTCCGGGCAAACAGTTGTCTTGCCTTTGCATGTGTTTGTGATGGGTGGACCGTAGAGGCAGGATGCGATCACCTTTATGCGAGCACCTGCTTCATCACTATTTGCGAGTTATTCGCTAAAACACGCTTCTGACATAATCAGATTCGTACAATATGCAAGGATTATGATATTGTGAAATATTTTTTTAATATGTGATAAGTTTCATGGATAACATTCTTTTATTCTTTATCACGAGGCGTCAGAGCAAGTTTTGCTCCGTCATTACGTAGATGATTTAACTTTAACTAAAACATTTATTAACATTTTGATGCTCATATTTAACAATTAATCTCCAAATAATCATCCCCAGTCCCGGAATATCATAACGGAGGTGTGGACATGCGCAACCCTTTTGTCTCAGATTGACCGACGGTTCGAATATCACATTCACCTTATTATGAAAATTCAATTTGCAACACAGTGGTTGTGAGCTTCATCGAAGTGGTTGACGTCAAACAACCTTCATCACTTTGCGTTTACGGGCCACCGTGTGGTGATTAAACTAAAATACTGGTCAATGCGACCTTTAAACCAATCTCACTCATTCCTGAAATAATGCCGGGTGATACCAAACTCACTCACACATAGAGGCTGCGTTGCCATAAAAATGGTATAGTGCGGACGTCAAATGTATATTACAGACACATGCCAAACTCTTCTAACAAAAGAAGCACACTACCTGTTTCGTATAATTCAAAAGGCATAATGTGTGTAAGGACATTTCGTCGAACTGCTTCACCATACAAATGGTTCAGTGGACGTCATATTCTTGGTTCAGACACATATTACATTACAAAGACCCATTGTCCTGTTCCACGCGATTACGGTTTGACCTTTATAAAGACGAACATCAAAACAGTAACTCATTTCGAGCTGACCGGTACCCTTTAAATGGCAGTGAAATAAAACCTGCCAAATAACACAAACCCTTAAGGACAACGAAACAACAAAGTGAAAGGACCTTTTTCTGAAGCTTTGAAACTGATTGCAACTGTCTAGAATGCTGAACAAAGAATTACACAGTCTCCATTATTTTGTTTCAAAAGAACAATGCAAACAAAACCATAAGTCAGAGAATTTTATGGATGTCAACTTCTTCTGAACATTTACCCGATGAAGGAGTAAGTATATACCCCAAAACGTTGTGTTTCTCATAATAAAGAAGTTGACATCCATTCCTCTCTCTTACTTATTGTGTATCACTTCTATTGCCAGTCGGGGCGGTCGGGTAGCCTAGTGGTTAAAGCGTTGGCTCGTCACGCCGAAGACCCGAGTTCGAATCCCCACATGTGTACAATGTGTGAAGCCCATTTCAGGTGTCCCCGCCGTGATGTTGCTGGAATATTGCTAAAAGCAGCGTAAAACCAAACTCAGTCAGTCAGTCAGTCAGTCTATTGCCAGTCAAAGTCCCAAACAAAACCATATATTATCTGAACTTCAGATGCCTGATTTGATTGTTCTTGTAAACAAAAGAATCATCGATGAATGATTCATCTAATTATATTTCTTCGCATTCATAATTGATCAATTTTCACTGCAAGGAAGTTTGTTAGTCGCTAAAGAAGGTCCCGATGCAGATGGACTCGGTTGAAATGAACCGCTAAAGCCTTACCTGAGAATGGTGTTTAGTCCATTACACATTCCTTGGTCGTCATGATGTAACTGCTGTCTCTTCAACACTGTCACCCGAACTCGTACAGAGGACCCAATGTCCAGGATAACCAAGCCGTAAAGCGTCATCAACAACAATGACTAACTTCAATGAGATCGTACCTTCCAAGCCAGCAAAACTTCTTCCCAACTTTCTTCATTCGACACTACTGTGTCCATACACCTTGGTGGATTGTTCAAGCTTTACAAGCGTCTTGGTGACATGTAATTGTTAGTTACAGTCTCTCGGCTCTCTCCTCACTGTTCTTGGTTTATTGTCAAGAGCGTGGAAGAGTGTCTCCTTCTCCTGCCAAGTACGTGTTACAAATACAAGCCCTGTGTCATGGTCCCCACGCCACGGCTGATCGATACTGATTCCTCCCTGAACAGCGCGGATGCTTCTCTTGTGCCGGCTCTGGATGTCTGAAAGCTGCACTGGCGAGTCCAGAGAGATCGTCCTGATTCCTGCTGGAGGCGACGCTAACTGCTCTGTTCTCATTCGTCGGAGGAAGATCTGCGACCGCAGTCTACCCATACGTCCGCCGAGCCTCATCAGCAGATGGATCGGCTTCTCAGATCGCCATCAGCCAATCAGTACAACCTGGTTAACGAATCCGACGTTAGGATGACATAGTCCATTCAATTAAAAAGAAACATAATTACTCATTTTCCTGGGTTACATTTTCGTTGATTGGAGCAATGATCCACGTCAGTGGGGTACGAAGACACACAAGCAGCCATGTCAGCGACCAGGCCTTGTATATTCTATTCCCAAATGTGCCTTAAAGTTATTTCACTTTTTTTCAGAACCTCTCTGTCATGAGAGAGAGATAGAGCAATATAACGTAGCGTTGTATATTCTATTCCCAAATGTACCTTAAAGTTATTTCATTTTTTTCAGTACCTCTCTGTCATGAGGGGGAGAGAGAGAGCAATATAACGTAGCGTTATATATTCTATTCCCAAATGTACCTTAAAGTTATTTCATTTTTTTCAGAACCTCTCTGTCATGATAACCTAACATTGAGAATGTCTTCCGTCACGTTCAGACATGTTTATTAGCAATGCTTCAGTCTCGGAGCTGCCAAGAGTATAATACATATATCATCACTGTCGTACGCTGTCTACCAATCCATCTACTCTCGTTGGTTGTTTACTTCACCTGACCCGGCCCACGTATCACCACTGTGTCAGTGTCCAGTGTGCCTTGTGCTGGATGATGTGACTCAGGTTACAGAAGGCTTAATTCAGTTGACAACTGAAACAGGATGCGGAGAATAATTACGAAAGTAGCAGTTATCGTTATAAATATTGCTCACACATCATTTCGCGTGACCGTTGTGTCTGTTTTGCCATATTTTTTGCAAATGTGCTGTTGCGGAAATAATTGGACATTAACCACGGTGCTAGGTGACACTGTCTCGAGTGGCCAACTAGGACATCACATGTACATCTATCATTCACTAGGGACACATAATCCCTTATTCTGCAGTTTGAGTAGGACATAACAGGACTATGTGCGTCCATATTTTATATTAAATGCATGTTAACCGTGAGCTTATTATTCTGTTTGAAATAGAGACTGGGTATTTTATCCAACTTGTTTTTGCGTGTGTATGTGTATGTGCGGCTGCTTGTACTAGCCCAGACTGAAGCTGGTTTTATAGTGCTAGCCCACTGAGATACCATGCCGCAGTGAAGCATGAATATCCCACTCAGACACATTATACTGACTCCGAGCCGACCAGTCCTTGTTGTACCCATTAATGCCGAGCGCCAGGCAGGGACCAACAAGTACCATATTTTAACGTCTTTTGGTATGACGCGGTCGGGGATCGAACCCGCGACCTTCCGCTCTCCGGGCGGACGCTCTAACCACTACACCACGGAGGCGGTCTTCAGCAGCAGAGTAACATTGATGGCTTAAATGAATATATGCTTGAACATCAAATCTCAAAAGCAATTTTCTGATTTTGAGCCGCTTTCAGCAGCATTTCCGCAATGCTACAGCAGAGACAGGGAATGACCATCAAAACATTGTGACTATGTGGATAAGCCAATATGGGGTAGCCGGATGGTTAAAGCGTCTGCTCGTCACGCTGAACACCCGGGTTCGATTCCCAACATGGCCACAATGTGTGAAGCCCATTTCTGGTGTCCCCCGCCGTGATGTTGCTGGAATATTGCTAAAAGCGGCGTATAATCATACCCACTCACTCACTCAAAATGGGCCTTCCGAGTGACCAGCGAACTCTTTAACAAATTGGCTACGCTACAGTCCTTTAATTTCATTAATTATTCAAACCTAACATGTAATAATCTTCCTTTAGTACGAGTGTACCTTCCAGAATCGACGGAGAAAGTAATCTGCCGAACAAAAGATTGTATTATACATCAATGGCTGATGGGGCTAAAAAACAGGAGATGGTCATGCGATTGTAATATATTTAAAAGTAAAGTAAGTAAAGTTTGCAGTGTTTTGGCGACTGTTTGCTGCCTACTACCGTTTTGATAACGTCTTTAATTTTTTGGTCAAAACTCATTTTCAGTCGTGTACTTATGTTTGCCTGGCATTTATAACTTCCTGCTTTGGTGATTGTGCATTAAACAGAGAAACAATGGTCAGCTGTCTGTGTTTTTTAAAATTTGGCGTCAATATTTGCTGCAATTTTATCAATTTGATTTCTCTATGGCTTGTGGGATTGGTTCTCGTTAGGTCTTAAAAATAGATTAGGAATCCCCAATTGCATTAAACTGTATAGATTGTATTATTGCCACCACTATTTGGATTCCTGGCGAGGGTTAAATAGTTTAACGCACTGCAAAGGCCAGATGTTTCCCATGATGGTTCCACGTATACAGATGAGATAAAACACGGGCTGCTCAAACCACACAAACACAGGAATGGTTAAATTTCTTTGAACATATTTGAAATCTGACATTTTGTTTTATTCATGTCGGGGGATATTGGTAAAGAACATTTATTCTCTTTAGATATGAGATGAAAGAACGTTTATGTGAGTTGTTTATGTTTATCTAGATGAGAACACAAACAGAAATGCCAATTCCTGGTAATAATGAAGCAGCAAAAATGGTTTCCATGTCAAAATGGTCAACCGGTGTACGTTCTGTTAACCATTATCTGGCTAGATGGTGAACCGGTGCTAATTCTGTTAACCACAACCTGACAAGACAGTGAACCGGTGTTTGTTCTGTTAACCATTATCTGGCTAGATGGTGAACCGGTGTTCGTTCTGTTAACGAATTTTCCGGCTAGACAGTGAACCGGTGTTCGTTCTGTTAACCATTATCTGGCTAGACAGTGAACCGGTGCTAATTCTGTTAACCACAACCTGGCCAGACAGTGAACCGGTGTTCGTTCTGTTAACCACTCTCTGGCTAGACAGTGAACCTGTGTCCGTTCTGTTAACCATTATCTGGCTTGACAGTGAACCGGTGTTCGTTCTGTTAACCACTCTCTGGCTAGACAGTGAACCTGTGTTCGTTCTGTTAACCACTCTCTGGCTAGACAGTGAACCTGTGTTCGTTCTGTTAACCACTATCTGGCTAGACAGTGAACCTGTGTTCGTTCTGTTAACCATTATCTGGCTAGACAGTGAACCGGTGTTCGTTCAGTTAACCATTATCTGGCTAGACAGTGAACCTGTGTTCGTTCTGTTAACCATTATCTGGCAAGATAGTGATCCGGTGTTCGTTCTGTTAACCTGTATCTGACTAGATGGTGAACCTGTGCTAATTCTGTTAACCACAGTCTGGCTGTACGGTGATCCGGTGTTCGTTCTGTTAACCACTCTCTGGCTAGACAGTGAACCTGTGTTCGTTCTGTTAACCACTATCTGGCCAGGCGATGAACAGGTTCTAGGACATGATTTTGATGGTCCGTGTGACATCACTTGAATTTTGCTTACTGCGGCGTAAAACAACGTTCATTTACCGTGAGACCGCCTCCGTGGTGTAGTGGTTAGAGGGTCCGCCCGGACAGCGGAAGGTCGCGGGTTCAATCCCCGATCGCGTCATACCAAAAGACGTTAACATATGCTATTTGTTGGCCCCTGCCTGGCGCTCGGCATTAATGGGTACAACAAGGACTGGTCGGCTCGGAGTCAGTTTAATGTGTCTGAGTGGGATATTCATGCTTCACTGTGGCATGGTATCTCAGTGAGCTAGCACTATAAAACCAGCTTAAGTCTTGGCTAGTACAAGCAGCTGCACATACACATACACACGCATGCCCGTCGTCATATGAGCGAAATATTCTCAAGCACGACGTTAAACCCAATTTCACCTTTCACTTCACCATGTGTGACTCGATTGTCCGGTATATATACACGTCGTCGAATGCAGGGCCGGAATATGGCAGTATCTGCATACAAATTATGCTTGTGGATATTCATAATCTCATCAGAGACATCTCATCAGAGACATTGAGAATTAGCCAGTGTTGCTAGTATGTGTTCATTCACTCACACAAGAAACCAAACAAACAGGCTCACTCGTTTCACAATCCCGTATAAGGTGTGGGTGTAAATGAACCTTAGGCAAGAGTGAGAGGAGGGGGCAGGATGCAATCACAAGACTATAACGAAAATAAAGTGACAGGATCGATTGATCGAATCGCGGGCTTGACGGGGTAAGCTGACAATTGTTTTACCATGCCTTAATATAACGCATATGTGGTATTGAGAGAGAGAGAGAGAGAGAGAGAGAGAGAGAGAGAGAGAGAGAGAGAGAGAGAGAGAGAGAGAGAGAGAGAGAGAGAGAGAGAGAGAGAGAGAGAGAGAGAGAGAGAGAGAGAGAGAGAGAGAGAGAGAGAGAGAGAGAGAAAGAGAGAGAGAGACAGACAGACAGACAGACAGACAGACAGACAGAGAGAGACACAGAGAGAGAGAGAGAGAGAGCTGATGTTCCCACAGCAGTATTTACGTGCACTTGATAATTAAATTTTTTACAGTCATTGATTTTTTCTGGCCCTGCACCTGTCTGACGAAGGACGTTCTCATTTACATGATTGGGATTATTTGAATGAAATGTGCATGGCGAAATGATAATATATGTTTCAGTCAATTTCATCCATCATCTCAAACAGATATCATACCAAATATTCTTCTCATCTATACTTCATTTTCATTAGAGACTTCTTAAACTATGATGTATGTATATATGTGTGTGTTTGTGTGTATGCATGCATGCATGTCTGTGCGTCAGATATTTCAATTCACCACGATAAAAACATGTAACTATCAATTCAATCATGCATACATTTTTTTTCATTAATCCTCTCTGTCTTAATGAAACAATATTGAGAATGTCTTTCTGCACAACCAGGAATGTTTATTTGCAATGCTTCATTCCAACAGCTGCCAATATTTATGACATTCTCAGGGATGCGATTCTATTATCTGGCCTCACCATTCTCTGCAAACGTCACATATAGGAAGCATTGTGAATACACCCCGAC